TGCTGTTGTGCGAGCTCCAACGTCAAGGGTAATACCCTTTTCTAATGTGTTTGCAATCCCTCGGTGAATAGCAGCGGTACAGCGGGCAACATGCTAGCGGGGGAACGGAGAGTGCTTAAAGAAAGCTCTATCCAAACAGATTTGATTGTGATATCAATATGCAGAGTGGATTTTGGAATCCTTTTTTTGGTGTGCAGCACACAGGAGGAAAAAAAAAAGCTCTAGTGGATTTTGATCCTGATTGACTGCATTAAACTGAGAGGTGGTTCTAATATTCTGGCCTCCCTGGTGTGTAAATGGGAGTGGGCAAAATGTTAGCAATAGCTTTCAATCTGAAATACTGCCACCCCTAACTAAAGGTTTTATTGCAAGGCTACTGCACCGAATTGCATTAGACAGTACAGCTATACATAATCAATTCATGACTCAGTCAGGAAAAGTAAGAAAGTGTGAAATACTGCGTACAGAAACACCAATAGGAGCTGAAATAATGTCTGTGAAGAAACTTGTTACCATTGCTAGTATTTCATGTTTATTCATCCTTGTCGTTTTGATATTGTTTTTCTGTGAATATTACATTTATGATGCTAAAATGATAACTCCCCCATCATGAATCATATCGCAATTGCAATATTTGTCAAAATAATAAGACCTAGCTGGCCCCACGTACCAAAGTCCTTGCTGCAGCTGCCCAGGGTTCGAATCCGACCTGCGGCCCTTTTCCTGTCCATCTTCAGCTGTCACCATCAATTAAAAGGCAATAAAAGCCCCAGAAATAATTACAAAAATTAAAAATAAGTCCTACTGCACACGCTGCAGTGTTTTCAGGGGTAAGGGAGGATCAACTAGGACTGGAGTGGGGGTATCATTAGGGCTTGATTACAGACTGGGGTAAATGTGGCAGGAGCCCAGGGGCTTCTGACAGTGGGCCCCTCAGCCCTGGCTAACCTGAGGGCGATCCTTGCTGTCAGACGTACACAACACAACGCAAACAATAAGTAAAGAGTGTTTCGAGGGGCTTTTAGCTGTGGGATGCACCGGCGAATGAGCTCCTGTTGTTGTATCAACTTTTTGGCGCCAGTAGCAACCAGTACTGAGTTCCACAGTGGTTTAACTGACATTGTTACAGCCACCATTTTGTCAGATTTATGACCAAGCAAATATTGACAAAGCATATTTGATCTACTCCCTAAATGCCCTTGCTGGAGCGTTATCTGTATGTACCGCTGGTATTACAGCTGGTTTTGTGATTGTAGATTTGTAGTTTGTTGATTTAGGGAACCCTAACCAAGCTAGCCATTACATCAGCTGTATGAGGCTGATGTGTTGCTAATACAACATAACAATAATGGTATAACTCTTTTACTTGTTGAACTTTTACTCTTGTGTATATGTTTACTAACTTAGATTAATCAGTATTGTACAACCATAATGTTGTTCCTCCCTGGCATGAGGTGTAATACAACTAATTTGAGAGTTAGCATTAGGCTATACTTAATATCTAATCCAGTTTCTTTGTTTCAGTGCTAATTCATTTTTACAATACCTTTGGTCTAACTGTTGTTTTCAGTATGTCAGCTTTTTTTGTAATAATTGAATTAGTTGTCCAATGCTGTTTCACTGGTTCACATTTGCTTCCAGTAAAAACTTCAAAGGCTTCACCTTTATTGGAAGTGTGTTTTGCTCACTGTGCGCTTTAATGCAGGCAGTATGCAATGCATGTGAGGGCATGGGTTGCAGATCTCTAATGATGGGGAAATGGGACTCTTTACTCCAACTATGGTAGACCTTTAGTCTCCTTCTCCAGTAATTGCTTTTTATGGCATTGGTGAAGTACAAACCCTTTTTTATTTTATTTTATAGATTAAGGGCTATTTACTGCATTACTCATGCTGGAAATGATGTCACATCTCTGGCATACCAATACTATTCCCATTGATGCTTTGAACTTTAATAACTATAATACTGCATGTATGTGCTGAGAGACAATAATACAGAAAAAAACATTTAGATGATGTATTTTTTTGGTTAAGTAACTCATTAGTTGAATAAATCCTATCACTATTATTTGACTAAAACTTTACATTTTAGACTTGACTTTGATTTCACCTTTTATTTGATCACTTAACTGAGATACTGGATGATGACTGCAACTGGAGTCTGAATGGGTATGCAAGTGCTGGAAACAGGCCAAATAGTGGAGACCAAAAGACCTCCTCACTGCTTAATCTGTCCTTGAATATCAACAGAGGAGGGGGAGGAAGGAAATAAGAAAGGGAAGCATTGGAAGGAAGGGAGTATATCAAGAAGGGAAAACATAAGGAAGGCTAGAAGGAAGAATAAATAAATGGAAGCAGAGAAAGAACGCAAGAGTTTAAGGGAGGCAAGGACGGAGGAACAAAGAAGGAAAGAGGAAGAGGTTGACATTAAAAGAGGTATGTGGAGAGAGAAACAACTTTCTGATAGTGGCCCAAGATTTACACCTGTTCAGGTCACTTAAACAAACCCCCCCTCCCCAACCTGCTTGGTATTCAGCCATCCCCTTCTCTAATGTGGAAAGAGAGGTATCATCATCGTGCTGAATGAGCAACCAGAACATCAGCTTGATCTGAAGCTCTAACTCCGAGATGCTTCTCACTGGTGCCACATATACTCTTGATCTGGACTGTAAATCTGCCAATAGCTCAGATAGTGAGAATTCTCCTTCAGAAACAGGAGCTCTCTGTATTAACACTATGCTGTCTTTAATCTTTAGGTTTAATTTATGGGACTCTATTGGAAATTCTGCAATATCATCTCTCGTATGATATTACTACATATTGTATAGCAATCCTGTGCTCACTGGAGTTGGGCACCTGGTGTACTGTTCAATCCAGATGAATGGATGCGAGTTTGTCATGTCACAGCAAGAAAAAGGTGTGCAACCCAACATGCAAAGAATACTTTTAGTTGAGAAATACAATCAATATTACCTGTCATACATCTGTTTTGTGGTATGAGTTGGAGCCCTTTGCACACATGAAAGTTTTCTAAAAGATATACTGTAGTTTCAGAAAGCTTTATGAAACTTTCTAAAGGCTTTCTGAAACATTTTTGTTTAAAAAAGAAAAAAAAAAACATTATATATAAGATTAGATTACTCCTTAGATCAGATCAAACATTGAAGTTGCATATCTTATGTTTATGGTATTGGACAAATTGTTCTAGGTATAGTAATCAAGATCGTAATGTCTTAGAAGAAAAAGCATAAAAACTGCTCATTCCAAGGTAACGAAAACACAACGATTGCTTTATCAGGTGGTCATACACTAATGAAAACATAGTTATGCATATCATATTCAATTTCTGCCAACAGATCCTCCTAAATGTTGCACACTGGACCTTTAAATTTTAACATTTGGCTGTGCAAGCAATTAGAGTGGCCCAGACATGTTTAGGGACACCTTGCCATGTTTTGTTTGCCTCTACCTTTCCTATATATTTCTCTTATTCTATTATGGTGAGACAGTTGTTTGTTTACCTCTTGAAAGTACTCTGGATCGTATGAATAGCATTTTCCTTGCCCAGTCCATTTACAGCTGATCTCTTGTAGAACTACTGGTGAAATGAGACTGTTAAATACCCTCTGGGCTGCTCCCAAGCACACTTCTCACTTTTACAACTGCATAGCAGTGGAACTGTTGATATGAGCACCTGGAGATTGCATGTTAAAAATACAAACATACAACCACACATGCACACGCACCAACTGTATGAGTCACATACATTTTCTATTTTCAGGTACAGCCTGTCGTTGAGACCGTCAGTGATTAAAGCATACCACTGGGCGCTAAGCACTGCCCTCGGTGGCCTCCTGGTGAAACGATAGCCTGCTAGCTTGATGGCTAACAGACATGGACACCCTGTGAACCACCTGATCCCCCCTCTAAACTGGCTGACCTGACTGAGACCCCCAGAAGCAGCTGATGGCTGAGACTAATGAAGGACACTAGTGAAGTGGACTACAGGGAGCTGAAGTCCTGTCCTGATTTTAGGATAGATCCTATTCCACCAGGAAAATGATATAGATAGTTTTTAGTTTCTTTTACTCTTTTCTGAAAAAAAAAAAAAAAAATGTATCTGTATTTTACACCTTTATTCAGTGAGACACTTTACATGCGAGAACATTCTTTGACTGGACACAAATCAAGGACATAGTCCATATTTTACAGATATGACACAGTCGGAATCTTAACTACTAGGCCCACAGGACACCACTTTTATCCATTTTCTTAAGCTAAGGTTGATCACTGCTGTATTGTATTTGAACTCGACCTATTTGCTAATAATGTTTGTGTATTTGTCATTAGAGCCCGACTGAGGCTAAAACCGTATTTGACATCACAAGCATTTTTGACATGACAGAGCAGGACATTTTCAGGCCTCTCTGGTGGACAAACTAAGTACAGGCAACAACATACAGTAGGAATAAACTAAAGCTTAACCTAACCTACGAGGTGCCTGGTTCTTTCGCTAGCTTCCCTGATACAGGGTGCTCGGGAAGAAAGAGCTAAATTATTCTGCATACCGCTCCTTAAAAGTATGTCACGATCTTGCACAAACCCCAAAAAAATGAAAGCGGGAGAGCTCCGTGCGTTTTTCCTCCCCTGAGGAAGATCCTTTGAAGTTCAGGGATCTGTCAGACTCAGCTTCAGTTTGGTATGTCCCCCCCCCCACCACAACCACCCATGTGACTCCCTCTGCATCATTCCATCCTTCCTATCCAGGTCTTATATAATCTTTTTCTCAGCAAGTTCTGCGTCAGACTGTCTCTCAAAGCTGTAAATCCGTGGTTTTAGACTTGGGTTTACACTACACATGTCAGGACATAAATACAACATGTTAGCGTGTGAACAACTGTTGAAAGCATGTACAGTATGTCATGTGCATGATTCGGCTACAGGTGGCCAGTGGCCCTGAGCCAGGGAGCCTCCTCTCTGCACGACTGCAGAAAAGACAGGTGACCTTGCAGCCTGTGAAGTCTGCAGCGCGAAAAACTTCAGAGAGCAATAACTGGTTACATCGGCTGATAAAGGGGAGAGAGATAGGCAGAAATGGAGAGAGAGGGGATGAGGGGTAGAGACAGCTGCTGCTCTGTAGATTAGAACTGAAAGCAGCTCTCCCTCTCTTTGGGCTCTGCTTTGAATGGTGTTTTTCGCCTGCTGGAGTTGGCGATTGGCTGAAAAGCTGGGTCTACAGGATGGGGCGATTTTAAACTCTTAAACATTTGTCATGCGGCATCCTTTTCACAAAACCCGGTGGCTTATTTTGGCCCCCAAACTAAATTTATAAGGAACAGAATGAAGATAATATACTGAAATCAAATTTTGTGTCATATTGTCATTAATAACATCAGCATTTTTTTCCTTCAAAAGGTTTGGAAGTTTAGAAATTTCTTGATGAAATAAAAAAAATCTAGTAAATATAAGTGGTTGCCAATACAGCCATCAAATCTCCAGGGTTCAAAAAACTTCATTACTACTTTCCTGCGCTCCAAGAACCATAAAACTTTTAATGTCAGGGTACACTGAAGCAAAGCAACAACTGGCACAACTACTGACTGCTTGAATAGGTTCTGAAATAAAAGGTAAGAGTTTTAAAAACGCTGCCAAATATCAGAGCGTGCCAGTAGTGCCGAAGGCTGTAAAGTATGTGATGTAATCCAATGGTGATCAAAACATGTTAAAACAAAGGTGAGATGAAGATTTGTGTGTGTGTAGCTGAAGCATAAAGCAATGTATAGAGAGCTGAGCGCAGGTGCTAACAGTGGGAGATGGGTTTACAGACAGAGAATGACCCGCCTGCAGAGATTTTTGAGCGAGTGTTATGAGAGAGACAAACAAAGAGAGAAAAGTGTGTCTTTGTGTGTGTGTGTGTGTGTGTGTGTGTGTGTGTGTGTGTGTGTGTGTGTGTGTGTTTGTGTGTGCATGAAAGTTACTCACTCCATCATAGATGCAGGTATGGAGCAGCAGTCCTGTATCGCAGTGAGTGGAGAGGTGAGGTGAGCGGTGTATGAGGCCTCAACCACCTGTTTGTTCCTGTTCACCACATCCAGGTAGCGGTTAAACTTCTCGCGAATCTTTTTGGCCAGCTGGGAAACACAAACACAGACAATGATTAGTGGTGACATCTAGATTTATTTCTTACTTCCTTTCTTAAATATGCAAGACTGATCAAGACAATCTTTACTTTCCAGGCGTGACGAGATGTTATCTAGCCTTCAAGTCTGCTTAAAACCTGCCAAACTAAAGCTTGACGTAAAAGATTCACATCAAGGATCTACACAAATATGCGCACACATAAAAGTAAAGACAAAACATAAAAGTACTGATTCCAAGTTGGGTTTTGTTGACTGTGGTTGCAAGGTGTTGCACATTGATAGTACATGTTTGAATAACACATACAGCTTCCTACTTTGGTGTGTTTTGGGGGGTAAATATTGCGGCCAATTTAGGAAACTCTTTAAAATGATGGCCTTTTTTTTCCTTTTAGTCTTTCTGTATTTAACTGTGTTTCCATTCTGTTTGTTCTACCCCCTCTACCCTGTTTGCACATTGTAGTTTGCTATATGCATATAGATACAGCAGAATAAAGAAACTGACCCAGATCAGCTCTTCTCTCTAACATAAAAGCTTTTTCTGTCTTTTGTCTTCACTGTATCTTGTTTTCGGCTTGTTTATACTTATATTGAGTAAGCATTCTCATAATTCTTCTTATTGTCTTAGCTTCTCACTTCTCAAGTGTATCCTCCTCCTTTCTTTTTTCTACATTGTTGTTCTAAAACAAGCTTCTGTTTACTGTGACCTCGGCCTTCTTATCTGTCTATGTTTTATTTATAATATAAATAGCTAACTTCTAAATTTGGCAATAATGGCATGATGAATTTTAAGGGAACACTAGAATTGTATATTGGGGCAGGCAAAGCACTCATCTCTGACCGCAGAATGCCAGAAATGCAACTCTACAAAGTTCAACCTACACCTTAACTTCATCCACAATTACATTTTCCTCAAAAATCAGAAATCTGGAAACCCTGGTTAGAAGTGTGACTATAAACTTTAAATAGACAGCTGTCAAGGTAAACTGTGAGCAAACGTTTCCACACTCACTCTCCTGAACATCCAATATACATGCATAAACATGTACACAAACACAATTCAACACTCATAAATGGAGCTGAGCAATATCAAAGATGCCCAGAACCCAGGCGGCACTAAGTGTGAAATCCATCACTGTTAACAGCAGAGCTGAATGATGTATGCCTGAGGCTGGAGAACAAAAACACTCTCCATTTCCACACAGCACATCCTTCATCATTTGATAAGAAAAAAACACCTTAAAATACAACACAGGGCCAATGTAAAGTGAAAGTTGGGAGCAGAAGCATTGTAACTATCTGTGGGAAAGAACAAGTGCATCAAACTGTTTTTAGCTTATAACATTGCAGCCCTTACATGAATGACAACATGATTCTACCACTTGCTATTGTGCCTTTATGTATATTTTCTTTTGGCACAATCCACATTTTAAATACACTATCCCCTATTTGTCTGGCTTAGCAAAAAAACTTCATTTTAAAAGAGATAAATCTGATATGAGGTCCCTACAAATGTCAAGTGAGTTTGGGAGTTTTGTTTTATGGTGTAATTTACCTTTAAAATGCATGAAAACAAGGAAGCAGGAAGGAGAAAATGGTGTTTCTAAACAAAGGCAAAAGGCTAATTCAGTCAGTGTTTACTGGGGCCCTTAATGCAGGCCCCTGGACATGCATACATTATACTTTGTCTTTCTTCTTGTGAAGGACTGAGTTCTGGTTGAGTACACATCTCACAGTGCTCTTTCAAAATGGGGTTCGAGCTCCTTTGGGGAAACTAATAACCAGCTCGCCAGTAGCCTCCTGGGCGACATTAATAACCAAAGCACCAGCAGCTCTTCACAACAGGTTCCTGTTCGTGCTTTCTTTTTCCAAAGGGCACTGAAAGGATGTTATGGGGAATTGTGAGGAGCTCACATCCACTTAATCTAAAAACATCACATGCATGTAATCTGTTACAGCCTATCCTATTAATTTAAAAGCTGCCACATGATCCACTGGTTTACTTGAGATCGGTTAAGTTACGTTTGGATAACCTTGTCATCTAAAAAGTGTGAAATATTTAAGAACTGTCGATGATGTGGTGCGCACCAAGTTTACACCATAATATAACTGACTCTTTACTTTTGTGAATCCAGCTTCTTTGTTATGACAACTCTAGTTTATATTTTCCAGCTTAATATGACCACTACCGGAAATGGTAGAACAACAAAAATAGTAACATTGCACAATTGCTGAAACTTCTCATCATGAGGTATTATGTATGCACTGATGGCACTATTAACACAGAAAAATGTAGAAAAATGGCAGTGATCTGAATAGTTTCAAAAGCCATTGTAAGTTACCTACTCAGGCGTGTTGAATACAGAAAAAGGCTTATTTCCACAGTAACTGGACCCCCTTTGTTCACATCCCATAATTACCGGAGCCTGCAAAAGGGCTGTGATTCAAGCCAGGAACAGGGAAATGCACCACGACCCACTGACCGCTTGTACACCTAATCAGCCGGCCGCTATTCCTATTAGGGGTTTAACAGGGGCCTGAGGCACAGCCCACAATTACTCCTACTCAACCACAAGGAACACACACACACACACACACACACACACACACACACACACACACACACACACACACACACACACACACACACACACACACACACACACACACACACACCAAGACACTAATGTGCGCTCTCACACACGGACATAAAGTTAAACACACAAACGCTGTACTCCCCCACACACACACAGTACAGTCCATGCATGTGCAGCATGGCAATTAGCTGCAGTGGACTTTGTATTAAAAAGGGGAAAATGGGCCAGTGTTCAGCTGAGGAGTGTTTCCATAGCTGGGGGAGAGAGAGACACACAAGGAGAAAGTAAGACATGACTTTTAACAGAGTGACTTAAGAGAAACCAGAAACTTCTAGCCGTGCAAGTTAAAGCTTAAGGTTACAGTCTGCCACGGTGCAGCCAAAGCAAACCTGCGCTCTGCAGATTAACCACACACTTCCAAAACACAGGGCTCCTCTCTCCACTCTATGACCCATCCAACCAGCTTTTTAGGGTTTGCAGCAGCCAGTGGGGTTGGTTCAGCCGCAGAACTGTAGTGAGTGGAACGGGTGCACCCTGAAATCTAGTGCTGGGAGTTTTGAGGTTTGCCAGTCAGCCTGCAACCACCAGTCACTGGCATTAGTGTTTATGGCAAGACCAAGACTTACTTTGGAGTGCAGGGATGAGGTTAGAATAGGGATAAGTATAAGAGCGACACTAGTCGAGCTCTGCAGAACTAAAAATCTGCGGGCGCACAAGCGACTGGCACAGTAGAAACTTGACAGTACATGTCTTTCTTCTTCTTCTTGCATAAACTGATTTTGTTATTGAATTAAAGCGTTTTCATTGGTGTGAGAAGCGGACATGTTGCTTCCAATGACTGTCAAAAAGGTTTGTTGAACTTCCACACTGCTGGCTTTGTTCGCTCCACTGGTGGTGATGTAACTATTCAGCATGATTTGATAAAGTGAGGAAATGTCTTGGAAATGGAAAAACCTCCTGCTTACAGGTTTGTTATAAATACATGAACACCGTAATGATAGCAGGAGGTAAGATACTCTGAGGGGAATTTACCAGTTTTGAAAAAGTTGTCATTTCCATGGAATGAACTAAACAAAAATGGCTTACAAAAAGATGAATTACAACAGCCAAATATGACAAATTGTTTATTTGATGTCAAGTTGAGGCAGTGGATTGTTTTTTTAAATAAAATTGTATATGTTATGAAAAACAGACATGTATTTAGATTGATGTGGCAAGACTGGAAATTGCAAAAGATGACTCCACTGACATGTTGTAAGTATTACTGGTCTTATGGCTATAACGGATGTCCTGAATGCAGGAGTAAATGCAGTAAACCAATACAATTGTGAACACAACATGTCTGAAATAATCAAAATGTAATTTTTCACTTGAATGGAACCATTTCTTTTTGTCCTTTTCCTTCCATTGCTTAAATGTCACAGAGCGAACGCTACATCTACCGCGTAACACTCCCAACCACAGCTACAGTGGTAGATTCAACAGATACTGCATACCACTCTGTCAACACCTAATGTGGATACATGTTTTAATAAACTCAGTTGAACTGGGTGTGTCTACAATACAAGTGAGCATGTGTATTTGTGTTACAATTCATTATCCAAAGAGTTGCCACAGAGCAGCGAGGCTTGTGGTTTGTCTCCCAAGGTTTGTGGTTCACTAGGCTACTGATCTGTATCTTTCTCCTGCACTTATTTTTAGGTGCACCATAGAAACGCCCTGTTGTTACAGTAGGAAGCCAGTGTATCTCTAATTGTCTGAGGCTTTTCTCCCTGAACCACAAATGTCAACTACATGGTGGCCCCAGATGAAAGCTCAGGAGATCAGATCAAGATTCGTCCACAGAACAATGTTTGTACAAAATGTCATCACAATCTGTTCAAAAGCTGTTGGTGGACAAACTGACCCAGCGATAAGGCCATTGTCTTCAGACACGCTGCTAACAGGGCTAAACACACAGCACGCTTTAACATTTTTTATTCTGTGATTTGAGGAACTTGAGCCAAAGTAGTACTTGTAGAAACATTTTAACACACAAGTATATTCTTAGAGCTAATAGCCAACAAACTTTGGTTCAAGAACTTCATATTGCCTTTTAGAATTTATACGATTTAGTTATTTAAATAAGGACTGTATTGGCTATACAAAGCCTGATTTTAACTTTTTATAGTACCTGTAGAAGGGGTGTCAAATATTACTTTGTTAAAACAACCCATCACTAATAGACAGCACTGCATGTGTGAATGGTGGACCAGCATGAAAACATTGGCAGCCAGCAGCTTCACTCTGACAACACATGTCAAGGAGTAAGAATAGAAGCAGAATAAATCCATAGAATGAACTGAAAGAAGACAGGAACAGACCTTACAACAGACACAGAGAGGGAAGGCTTGTGTCATTAGAGAGGGACAGATGTCTGCATGTCTTTCTGAATAATGAATTTCCAGAGGAGAAACTCGTCTGACAGCCCGGTGGCTTCTCTCTGCAGCCCCTTGCCCCCTCTCTCTCTCTCTTTCTCCCAGCCCTCTCTTCCTCTGCAGATCCACTCCTAATTGAGCCTCAACTTTGGCTCATGGACACAGCCCCTCTGCCCAGAGAGAACACGCGAGCCAACTATGCCAAGGTTGTCATCTGAATTAGTCGGCGTCTGCTTCAGCAGGGTTGCAGCTAGAATGTATGGGCACTCTATGAGCTAGCCATGGACATGAAATAGTTCAACTATTCTAACAAGGACTAAGAATGAGTGATGTAAGTCAGCTCTGGGTGCTTATTAACACACCAAACTCATGTTATACCAATTCAAAACATTAGACTCAGTACTGTAGCTGACATTTCTGTAAAAGGAAATGTTTTTTGACTATTAAACTTGCGCAACAGGTTATGATGATCCTGGAAACGCTAGTTGTATGAATACTATATTTTGTGCAAATGAGCGCATTTCCACGGAGACGAAGAAACAGCGATGCTTCGAGGCCAATTTGAGCTACCTCTGGAATAGTACATAACTGCAAGGTGAGAGGTATTTCACACACATACATTGACACAGATGGATACACTAGCGTACACACACAGAGTCACGGGAGAAATGCAAACAAACATCAGCCTGTCTGTTCTTGCTGGTGGCTGTTTACCAGTCTGGTGTTTACTGTCAGTCTTCCAAGATCCCCGACACACGAGTGCAAACACACACGTGGATACCCACAATGCCTGCTCGCAATCATGTTTGACTTGACGCCGGACAGCATCAATTCTGAGCATATTTTTCCTAAACCTAGCCCCAAAATGGCACACACAAAATTTTGACTTGTGGATTTTGAGGGCATATGAAACAAATCTCCCAATTTCTCTTTCAAGCCTTCTTATTCTGACTGCAGCTCTGCACTCACACTGTGAGCAGAGGGAGAGAGAGAGACAGCGCACAGACAAGTGGAAAAACAGACTGAGAACTTCAAAGCCAATGAGACAGCAGCCGTAGAATTTTAATAAACCCCCTTTTTCCCTCTGATGGCGAGTGTACGTGTGAGTGTGTCTGTGGTCCTGTGTTGTGTTCAATTCAGCAATGAACAGACACCATCCATGACACATGCATGCACAAACAGGCAGGCACGCACACACACACACAAACACACACGCACACACACGCACACACACGCACACACACGCACACACACACACAAAGGAAAGGAGAAGCCTTTGTTACTCACCTGCTGCACTTCTGTCTCTCCGTTTGATGTCTTCTCGGTGTACACAAACGAGTTGAAAATCCTCTGTAGGGACACAGAGAGAGAAGGAAGCAGAGACAGTGAGGTTACATCAGGAGGAATGCTCAAGATTCAGATCCAATAACCGAAAACCATCACCTAAGGAAGAGTATTGGCAGAACTCCTTTATAGAGATAGATTTTGGTTTCAGGTGTTGTTGAGCAGAGACCTTTGTTATCAACACTGTGGGATTACATCTACAAAAACTGTCAAAAATTGTGGATCGGTAAAAAAAAGAGAGTGATTGCAAAAGTATGTTCCCTGTAGTAATCTACTAACTATCACAAGGTCACCAAATAGTCAGAGAATTCACATATTTGTAAAGAATCCAGTCAAACCAGGACCATTCATTGCTAATTTAGCATACCGGGTATAATGAAGCTGGGTATTAAACTTTGAATATCCTAGCACATATTTTTCAAATAATTCTATTCTGTATTTTATTGAGGCTTTAATTTTGAGCTCATGTATGGCCATTTGTTTAAACAACAACACTGCGTACACTGATGTATATTCATCAATGAACTCATGTATAAAAGTAGCATTTTCAGAGGTGCCACTACAACAGCCGAATTTTACCCTGTTTACACTGTCACGTAAATCAACCCTTTGCCCATCAAACTTGATTCATTTCAGCCAGTGTAATGTGATTTGGCAAAGACACAAGCTATTTAAGGAGTTGAGGAAGTGATGGTGTCGACCTTGTTTGTACAGTCTGCATTCATGTATCCCTTTACGAGCCTGTCGAATGGGGCAGTGAAACAGTTCATCTCTTCCTTGTTAAACATAAACCACCCATTACTGAGATAAAAATTATACTGAGAAAATCCAAAGATCAAACACAGAATCTAATCTGAATATGTATATGCTGAATAAACTGCCAACTAAATAAATATCCAAACACACTAAGTTGTTAGTCCTTTCTAATCGTAATGACAGAGGCTCGGTGTTGTGTATTTTGGCTCACTGGCTCACGTTGACATTGATGTTATTAGTTACACCTGTTCTTCTCCTGACAGACCAATCATATATAATTTATAACACATCATGGCATGACACCCAAGTAATATAAAGTAAATGTAAAGTGAACTACAGCTAATTAACAACACCCCAACCTGACTTCACTGAATGAGACAGAAAAGGCTCTGAGCCACTGTCTTGATTCTAGATCCAGAGTTAGGCAGACATTAGCATTAGTTTTGATGGATTTCTCTGCACAGACAGGTGCATCTGGAGCCTTTTTATTACTAGTCCATAGAGAATGATAAGCCTGGTTATCTGCCAAAACAACCAGCCCATAGACCCAGACAGTATGTTCCTGTCATTTACATCAGCCTCTAGGTTGGGAAGGAAAATGCGTCACCTGTCTAAATCTGGAGGTCAGCCATAACACAAAATGAAGGTTTTCATGAGCCCAAATCACAAGGTGATGTTAAATTTCCCCCTTCACCATCCAGACTGAAACATTTTAATAGTCCCTGATTTATATTGTTAAGTGAATAGGAAGCGGAGTCCTACATTAAAGCATGGAGAAAATGAGTCCTGGTGTGACCTCAGCATTAACACGCTCTTACAGAGACCCAGAAAAACATTTTAAGAGTTGCCTGAATAACACACACACACACACACACACACACACACACACACACACACACACACACACACACACACACACACACACACACACACACACACACACACACACACACACACACAAACAGAGTAAAACTAATGTTTGTGTTGAGGCAGCAGGTAGGCAGGTGTTTCACTGTGAACCGCCCCACTGCACACAAAGCCTTAAATTACCTGGTTCCACTCTGCAACTATTTCCTGCTGCCTGTCCACACCTTTTGTTAGATACATTCCAGAGGACCTCAGTTACCCAGAATGCACCACATCACAACTAACCTGGAGCTGATTCACTAGAGACGGTTACTGCCACGCCATTGCTACACCTTTACACTTTCCAACGCTGTCTCACTGGTTATACACAGTTAAAAAGGGAAAAGGTGAGCAGTTCCAAGATATTGTAGCCTCCTAAACATCAGATGAACTTATTCCTGGATGGCTCTTGCAAAGAAATGTAGTAAAAGTAAGGCCTTAACTACTTATTATTTTGATTATCTTATAATCCTTTGGTCTAAAAACAAGTACAAAACACAGGTATTTAGGTTACTATAATGTAAGACAAAGAAGAGCAGCAAATTCTGACATTTGAGCTGAATCCAGAAAATACTTTTGCCATTATTGTAAATTAATTTAAACAAAGATCAACTGTTTCTGTTGATCAACTAATCGATTAACTAATCGACATAGCTCTATTTAAAAGATACTGAAAGATTCCTACCCAAACCAATGCAATTATAGGCCATAATCTCTTTATAATGGCCTCTTCTGGGCCATAATTAGGCCGCTCAGTTAACACTCATGAAGATTAAGTATCAAATGTAATTTCTGAATGAACTTCAATGCTGCCTATAAACACAGACATAAATATAAGCTAATTGTGACTGTCTTCAACAGAACTTTAGCAAAGTGCTCAGTTTTAATCCTGATTGTCTAAATGGAGTCTGCAGTCCTTGTTATGACTGTTTCTGAGTATGTTTCTTTCATTTTAAGGTGGCATGAGACAAACACAAACGTGCTATGCAAACAGTTTTGTTATGTTATTATTACACACACACACACACACACACACACACACACACACACACACACACACACACACACACACAGCTGCATATTTCGCTACCGAGTTATTTACAAAGTGCAAAACCAAGCCCAGACAGTCTACTGTTCCACACCCTTCTTAGTGGAAAAAAAGAGAAAGTCCAAGATGTAGAACTGTCAAATAAACACGAAACAAGCGCACACAAACAGAGTTGCCACTTCTTAGCAGGAAGCATGTGCTTTCAAATCACGACACCAACAAAGAGAAGGAAAATAAGTGGAGAAATAGGCACTGGGAAGGAGAAATACTTTGTTCCCATTAAGCCAGCAATTCTGAAAAATCGGGAACAAATCCTGTTGAGAGAGAAACCTCCTGTTGTTGATTAGCCACAGGTTAGCTGTCTTTCCCCCAGTGCCTCGAGTGTTTGTTGTTGGAGCTGCTTTGCGGTTTTCACAGCTATGTAGCAGCCAGCAAGGAATGCTCAGCTCTGAAATCTGAGAGGCCTGAGGCTGCCTAGGCCACCGTGGGCCTGTGGCCTCCCCTGACCCATAATCAAACACTGAAATGTACACAGACACATATACCCCAGTACAGAGCCACACACAGACTACTACACAGTCTCATGGTGTACTCACACCTCCCTATACACCTTACTGGGCTGGGCAGTAAAGAAAAAATAAATATGAGAGATACCAGAAGATGAGAAAAATCAACATTTAAGTCAGATGGGATTTCTTGGAAGAAATGTGTTAAATTAAGCATGATTCAGAACTATGAATGAAATCCCAGCATTAACAATATATAACATAGGTACATCTGTATATTCACCATCTGTCTAACAGATCAGACCAGCGGGAAACAACCATATATCTTAAAAACAGCAACATTATGAACCCCTTTGCCTCATTTATCAAGCTGTGGAATCATTTTGTAGTTTTAGCCTGTTAAGTGCACATACAATAGCAATACATTTGGATGACTAATGAACCACAGCTCCAAACAAGTCAGCATAGCTCTTTACAGAATATCCACAATGTGGTTTTTGTTTGTCAAAAGGGAGCCCCCTAAAAGGTCCAGTGTGTAACATTTAGAAAGGAACTATTGGCAGAAATGGAATATAATATTCATATGTATGTCTGCATTAGTGTATAATCACCTGACTATAGGAATCGTTGAGTTTTAGTTACCTTAGAATGAGCGTTTTTTGTCTAGAGACGCCGTAGGGGCCTTTCATGGACGTTGAATCGCCACACTTCACAAACCGCTCTAATTCCCAGATTGTCAAATACCAACGCCAGCGGTATTCAGTTAGTTGCAATCAGCAACTTCACCACTAGATGCCACTAAATCTTACACAGGCTATGAAGCTGTTTCTCTATGAACGGCTCTCTGTTTTGTTTATCGCTCATGCACTATTCCACTGATCTACAGGTGGTGGTAATGTGCTACAATAAGCTAAGAAAAGCAGTGAGGAAGAAGCTAGTCAGCTGTATTTTAAATACAGTATCATTTACATCTTTGTTTACCGGAGAAAAATGCACTCAACATGTTTGCTAGACCTCAAGTATGCACATAATATGTTTTTGGTGAGTAACACTGAATGTAAATGTAACTTTTGTTTGTTTACAAGAAAACTGAACATACACATTTAACAGACCCTGGATCCGAATAGGTAACACACTAAGCTCACAAGAAATGCCCTCAAACTTGTGTCCATTGATCACAGAGCAGCAGCCTTTGTCTCATTAGGCCAGTTTTTAAATCCAACCACCTTGGGGTTAATCCTCCTAACCACAGACGGGTGGTTCACATGAATGACTAGCCCTCAGTGGAAGCTTAAACTGTGAGTAAGAATGTTATTTCAATCCTGTAATATATTTGTTATAACGATACAGGGTTGTTTGAGTGGATTCCTGTTGCATGTATTAGAATAACTGACTTATCGTTGAAACTCTTTTCAGATTTATAACTTAACCTGCTCCCCTCTCAATTATAGGAACAGAGGAGGATTAAGATTGAGCAGATTTACACATAACAAGAAAACGTTTGCAATCCTGTGACTTTTTGGGCTTAGTACATGCTGTTGATGTGTTGAGTGAGTCTCAGGCAACACCACACTTTATCATTTTGTTTCTCTTTCTTGGCCCCACAATCCTCTTTGCACCCTGTTAAAGCTTATTTAAATGGTTCAACCTTGGGAACCCCCACCCCCCTATGTATATGGCATCAATTTAATTGGGCCTGCCTCTTCAGCTCTTCTGTCGGGCTCTCTTGGGGATGCCATAAACTACCCCAAGAGGCTCTTCTCCTTTAAAGAGACTCTTTTGTTCTTAGT